AAATTAATTAAAAGAATTGCATCCTCTCAAGCTAGCTCAGAGGATGTGGATGTGGTCAACACTTGCAGATCGATCTTACCTACTGAGCAAGCTGGCATGCTTCATAAATTAAACCACCAACCATGCATCGATCCCATTCCCATTCACACTGCATGGAGACGGAGATAATAAAACTCAAAAGTTTGAACAGTAATTAAAAAATACCGACTAATCACGTTAATATTATCGACCAATTGTATTATTTGATCACAAAAAATTTCTGTACAATTAGAAGTAGAACTATTTGATATAGATACTATAGTTTATCCTGTCAATTTCTCAATGTGAGACTTTTACAGTTTTCAACACTTTCAGCATGCATAGTAACCGGAAGATATATGTCTCACGAGCTTTACCAAATAATTTGTGTCATGCATTAACGCTCTTGATTAATTATATATTTACCTTCTCACTACCTAGGCTTATACTGTTATACAGTCTCATGTGATTATTCTAATCACCACCCCAAAAAGAAGAGGAGAAATCTTAATTAAAGGTAAATTACAGGATGTCTTATTTGTTTTATTTTCTATAGTTTGGTTTCGAGAAAAAAGTAGAGCATGACACATTGAAAGTTAGGAATTAATGAGCATTGTTTCTGCAAAGGAATCCGAAGTTTTATGTTAAAGTAGGGTACGAGATGAGGTACTACGGAAAATCAGATCTGCCAATGCAAAAGAAATTAATTAAAGTTGCTAATAACTAGGCTTGTGCTGTGCATATGGATCACATGGAAATAATGATAACCATGTCTAAGTCTTCATGACAAGCTGTATGATTTCCAGCAATTTGCTCAGAATACTAGCTGGCTCTGCAGTCCCTGCTCATGGAGAAGGTTTTGGGTGTGGCTACCGTTGGTTGGTGGTGGGCCATTCTATGTTGTGTGAGGGGGGTGGAACCGTGGAACATAAATGGAGCCGGATGAATATGACAAAATAAGAGGAGGGGGGTGGTGGGGGGTGGGGGATTTATGACCGAAGAATTCTTTATAAATTTTGTTCTTATTTTCGGAACACTACTCCTTGCTGGTAAGGAGTCATTGACGCATGTACGGATGTACCAAAGCGACTTCTTATAGAAACAAAAAGAAAAATTTATGTACGTGTCAAACTGTGAGGATGAAAAACATGAATTAGGGTTTTGAATGTGCAGATCTAATTACTATTGCATAAATATAAAGGAAAACTAATGAAAATGGCTTGAAAACTTTGAGTTTTAATGATAAGGACAAAACAAAGGGTGAAGTAAATAGTACTAGGATTGACTTTTTAGTGTAAAAATATGATTTTTTTTAAAATGAACGGTACTGATAGGTTTTAGTTGAAGTTCCATAAATATAATTCTCATCCATTGGAAATTATTGCATATGGCCTGCCTTTTAAATGTAATGTCATCCAAACATGAACAGCACAGCGCAGCACAAATGTCCAGCCCCAAAATGCAACTGGCGCACATATAATTGCTCCCGTTATTGTTTCCTCTTTTTCCTTAGTAGTTAAGGTTTTCATCTTCTAACCCATTGTGTCTCGAATTTGAATCCTCCCCCACCCCTCATTGTAGTTTAGAGTAGGAATATCGATTGTATTCAAATGATAAACACAATCTATTGACAAAGTTGTACAAATACAAAGTTGTGGACAAGTTGTCCATTGCATAAAATACAAACCCTACAAATTACAAAAGCATTTCTTCTTTAAGATTTTCCAAGTGACAAAACCACTATGATAAGCATCCCTGTAATCTCGGGTATGTTTTCAGCAACCGCATCAAGCAGACTGAAGGGAAAAACATATCCGCAGGAGGCGTTGGGTTAAATTGAATCGTCGGATTCATCAGAGTCACTTCTATCGGGATCTCCAGCATTTGTAGCTGCCTCTGGAACATCAGGTTGTGATACAGGTTCTTCAACAGGCTTTTTACTTGCATTACGAGCATTTCCGTCTCCATCCTTTTCTTGCTCAGCTGCTTCAACATGTGAGCCTACTCAATTAAGGATAAGTAAAACAGACCATGCAGACTGCACATATGATACATATCTACTAATCTAGTGTGTCGCAACAAGACAACATGGTCAAATCCACCATTCAAGAAATTTCTCCATTGACAATCCAAACGTGTCACATGCTTTGACATAACAATCTCAAATTGTAAGCTAACAAACATGATAATTTTAAAAGAAGTATCATCGGAAAAAGGAAAAGAGGAAACATGTTCAACAGAGCAGTAAAACGCATGTCAGCAATTTAAGTAGCCTCAAACATCAGAAAATGGCATTCAATCAGGCCTAAGAATAGCAGTGGGGATCCTATTTCTCACTTGACAGAAGAATTCTATATTGCCTTTTGCACAAACCGATAACAAGAAAGTAATGAAACATAATATGTGAGGATATCAATATTATCAGCTGGTCCGCTTGTACTAATATTCAGTAGATCTTCCTCAACACGCCGGACAAGCTCAGGCTGGAAAAATGCAATAATATTGCAATCAGTAAAAGCATCCAGGTATGAAAGGACATCGCAATAAGATAAAGCTTAAAAAAAATCCAATGTAAAGAGGCTAAGATACATTGAGATCAGGTTCCCTGCGAAACCTTCGCTTTCGAGCATCCCTCATTGGAGGGGTGAGACCATGCCTGTACTCTACTGTATCTGGAGCTGGATCACTCGGATCTCTAACCATAATCATCTGTTAAAACCGCAAACGTTTGGATAAATCCTTTAGAAATCAAGCACTGTTATATTTAGCTGATTAAATAGTGATATACAAGGCACACCTGACCAATGTCTGCAGTCTTAATTAACACGCTATCATCATATGTTTTGAAGGACTCCACAACACAAGGAAGATCAAACAGTGATGCAGGGAAATGGTCATTGCCAACGACAAATGTGCCAGTCCTGCCATCCTCTGCAAGATATTTCAAGTTTACAAGTGAAACATTTGGTGAAACAAGGAAAAAAATACAAGTATTAAACAAATATACTAGAATTCATCGTTGTTACTTGTTCATCACTAGTTGACTAGTTGTGCCATGTCCATAAAATATACTAGAAATGAAAGTTGATCAGGAAACTGATTTAAAAAAAATAGCTAAAGTCAAAAGTAGGCAAAGATTGAATATGGGCAGGTTCCTGAATGTGGAGAATGAATTTGACTTATTTATTTAAATTTTTCTTTCCACACATGCCTAAATTCTATAACTGCAAAAAGCCTTGAACAAATCTCACATATCTGCTCGAACTAAACTCAAAAGGTGCACGATACCCAGCATGAATCTGCATTACACTAACAGTTCACGAGTTTGGAGAAAAGATTAATACAAACCAGGCATCACACAAATCACGACCAAGAATCACATCCAACAAGACAATGCATAACATCAATATCACACATACCAAATGGCTGTCAAATGCCACCATCAAAACTACAACGTAACTAAAGCTTCAAACCGACAAAGAATACTTTTGACAAACCTAGGGCTTGATTGGAACTGCTCCTGAAAGAGCTAAAGCGCTTCCTAACTTAGAAGTGTTTGTGGGTCGTAGAATCATTTTCTGGGGAAAGCAAGTGCATTAAGAACTTGGAATAAAATTTTTGACTTTCTTTTTAGCCGACCCCACTTAGTGGGAAAAGGCTTTGTTGTTGTTGTTTATAATAAAAGCGCTTGTGAGCAAAAGTGCTTCTTACCCCTCAAATCAAACCCCCAATACAATCGCTAATGAAGCCGCTCAATAACAAACATCTTAATCCTTAAATACTGATTAATTACATAACAATTGGCCCTAATTCATATCAACTGGCCCTCGTTAACAAAACGCATTCAATACAACAGATTAATTTACAACTAATTGATACCAAAACGCAATTCAATCCAGCAAAAGGGAGTTTCTTTCTGACCTTCGAAAGACAAATCCAACGACTTGTCGTCAGTAGAAGCGTTGTCGCCCAGAAGGCGGTCCAGTCGCTCTGCAACAGAAGGTGGGACTCTGAGCACGAACTGCTCCTCCATCACTGCCACAAAACGGCACCGGATCAGCATGAATCACAAGCACAAAAACAGAAACAAAACCCTAGATGCGAAGTAAACGACAATGAATTCAGAAATTCAATCACAAGTTCGGTGCCTGAGAGATTACCTGAGAGAAAATCAATGTCAGAAGGAAAGAAATGGGACTGCTCTGCTCCCGGCTCACGTATGATCAATAAAGAGGAAGGAGATTATGAAACGGAGAATTTGAGAATGGTATTTTTGGAATAAAATTATTTAAGAAGAACCGGTAAAATACTAAAATATAAGGGCCCGTTTATAAAAATAAAAAACAAGAATTGTGATTTTGATTCGTATTACATTACTTAATTTGTTAAATATTTTTGTTATTTTGTATTACAGTTTTGTGATATTTTGTTTTATTTGTATGTGAGATGTCTTATCTTCGATTCTCGTCAAAAGCAAATTTAAATTATATTATTACTAGTTTATTGTTTTGTGAGTCTTAATCTACTCTCCTACTCCTAATGTGGGTAATATTGTGATTTCAATATGTTGAACTAAAATAATAAAAATCACTCTTATATTGTAATCATTCTGACCATTGTTTGATTCTTATACCACTAGCATCACACTTAATTTTTCGACTCGTTATGAAAAGCCTTAAAATTGAACTAAAAAATTGGAAATTTTTTTAAATTGAAGTTTTCAAGTAAAATTTTAAGACTGGAATATCATTTGATTTTCCCATGGGAATGGGATCATATCATCGATAACAAAATAACATAATTATATAGGAGGACGTGACTCTTGAGTTCAATTTTGAGACACAAAAACGGAATGTACAAAAACAAAAAAAAGAGGTGTGGACGGAGAATTGTAAATGAAGGGTATTGTTGGGATAAAAGCTACAAAAGAAAACGGGGAACATGATAAAGCACGCGCGGCTTGGGTTTCGTAAATTTGTTACCCCCAGACACTTTTATATAAACGACTACGGATAACATCTTCTGCAAACGTATCACCTATATCGACGCCGTGCCTGGGCGTTTTCAGAACCGAAGCAAGACCAGAGCACCGCGGTCGAGTTCGAGTTCCTCTACCACAATCCATCCTCTCCGATTCTCCGCCTTCAGGTCTCTCTCGCTCTCTCGTTCGTTCAATACTTTTACACATTGTTAGGGTTAGGGTTCGGGAGTTTATGTCTGTTAGGGTTTATGTAATCGCAAGGAGTTTTGTCAAATTGGTAACTTTTCTCCCAAGTATATGGTTCTAATTCGTGATTAATGCAGCCAATTTCAGTTTCGATTTCAGTTTTTGAAGAAAAGATCTAAGTAAAAATTGGGGCTTTTTTCTTGGAATTGTTGTTCTTGTAGTAATTTTTTATGCATAGCCGGGCTCGAAAGTTTGGATGTTTTTGCCTGAAAATTTTATTTCTTGATAGTAGGACTTATAGATTAGTGGAGAACCTTTTTCTTTGGTGTTTCTAATGAATTTTTGAAAAATTTCAGAAGGTTTCTGACAGTTATATAATGAGGGGACGGAGTTACAGTCCATCACCACCTCCACCACCCCCAAGGGGAGGATATGGTAGGAGGGGACAACGAAGTCCTAGCCCCAGGGGTCGCTATAGCGGTGGTCGCGGTAGTGGTAGAGATCTTCCTACAAGCCTTCTAGTTCGTAACCTTCGCCATGATTGCAGGTTTGTTGTGGTTAACCCATATGTCATCTCTTTTTTCGTCGAATGGTCAAATTGCATTGCAAATTTTGCGTAAGGGAGTGTGTTGGCTGTTTTAAAGGGGAAAGCATGAAAAAGGCAAGTCATTTGAATTTATGAATTAATGAGCTGTCATTTTATGTGTTTTATCACAGGCCAGAAGATCTCCGCAGGCCATTTGGGCAATTTGGCGTGCTTAAGGACATCTACCTGCCGAAGGATTACTATACTGGGTGAGCATATCAGAGTAACATTGGTCGAATGTCTTGTTGAGATAATAATTTTGTTTTTCTGCATAAGTTAAACTATTTGTTTTGTGTACAGTGTACGTATATTTCACCTTATGATTAGAAATTTTATAGTTATCTGCTTGCTTATTTTTCATGATTTCTGAAACTATGGCACGATTTGGCAAGCTTTTGCAGCACTGGTTTAGCAAATTTAGATTAAGTTTAGATATATGTAGATGTAATCTCTACGGTTGAACTTCTCTTGTACGTGCTTGCTATGATGGCTTTTTGCATGCTTCTGTGCCCACATTTTATTTTAAAGAAAATCATAGCTTTTGAGAACATGTTCAATGCTATTTTCATTATTTTCTAAAGGAATCAATTCAATATTGGACTACCTAGCAGACCTGCTCTGCTCCTTTTAGATACTGTCCTTAAGACGGGGGCTTCTTTTACGTGATCTTTTCTAATTGCTACCATTGGTTGGGTGTGTTAATTAAAGTTTGTGAGGTTTAACAGTGAAATTAAAGTTTTGAAGACAAGAATCAAGTAATTAGAGTTCTTTTGAAGATGATGTTAGTGGTAGTGAAGATTTGAAGGAAGTTGGATTTGAGTACATTGTGAAGATGTTCCAAGTCTTGAAGAATTTCAACTCATCTTAAAACTGACACTTGCAAGGTCAGCAGCCAAGTGCTTGCTTCTTTATAGTGACCGTCCATATTTTGGCGATTATTTTGACAAATTTATTAGGAAAGGTTTAGGGTCTGTTTAAGTATTTGCATAATTTTGCTTTTCAGTATAACTCCTTTTGTGACTATTGTTGTTTTTCTTCTCTTTCCATCTATTTTCACAGGGAGCCTCGTGGCTTTGGTTTTGTCCAGTTTGTTGAACCTGCTGATGCTGAAGAGGCTAAATATCAAATGGATGGTCAGCTTCTTCTTGGTCGGGAGGTAACTGTTGTATTTGCAGAGGAGAACAGGAAGAAGCCATCTGATATGAGGCATAGGGAGCGTTCAAGGTACAAACCTGCCTATTGCTTTTTTTCATATTGCTTGTTAGGTTGCTGTTTAATTCGATTAATATATCTTCTGGATGTCTATTTGCATGTTCTTTTCCTTCAAAATTTTGTGTAATCATCTCATGTGGTTGTGAACTTGTTAAAAGAACATAGAAGTCACTGGTACATTCCTTGTCGATGTATATTAACATATACCAAAGTCTTTCAACAAGAAAAAAACCAAGGGATTGCCAATCTGTGTATATCAATTTAGGAAGTGTAAAAAATGCCCATATTCATTCTCAATAATGGAAATGATAGAGATCATGCATTAGAATATACATATTATATTGATAATCATATGTAAAATTTGAATTAGTCATTCTAGTAATTTTGCTTGCAACGGTTCTGCTATCTTGTTTGATTCAGCACACATTGTGCAAGGTGAATTGAGATGGTATTTGATAATGTATAATTGAGAAACTGGTATGATACTTTTTCTGCTTCTGAGTTGCATCATCATCTAACTTTTCAAATATTTTCTCTCTTAGCTCCAGGACTACTAGTCGATATCGTGATCGAAGACGGTCTCCTCCTCGCTATTCTCGCTCTCCACGATATTCCCGTTCTCCACCTCCACGCCGTGCAAGATCTCGATCTCACAGCCGTGGTTATTACTCTCCTCCAAAACGAAGGGATTATTCCAGGTAGTAGTTCTGTTTCTTCTCAGCTGTGTCTTCTTTCCGGTAAAGCAATTTCATGTTGGTTGTGGAAACTACTTACTCATGTTATGCAACCTGCTGTTTGTCATTCCTAGAGTCCAAATAAGATGCATTAGACTTTTGAGATAGATATATATTTTTCGGTTTTAGACTTTTGAGAGGTCGCACTTGGTGCGATGGCAAGTGCCTTCGCCCATGAGCGGTAGGTCTCGGGTTCGAGACTTGGGAGCAGCCTCTTCATAAATGGGGGTAAGGCTAGCCGACATTCACCTCTCCCAGACCCTGCGTAAAGCGGGAGCCTTGTGCACTGGGTACGACCTTTAGGGTTATGGCTAGTATTCTATTGTCCGGCGGTGATTTTAAAAAATAAAGGGTTCCCGTGGAATCATTCATACCGATATTGATTGCTTGTAGTATTTCCTCCAGACGTTTGATAAAAAATGCTGCTTTAACATTTTTATATGGTAGACCTCTTGTATCTGAATCCCTTTCATATTGTATGTGTATTTACTTAGATGCTTCTGTCTAGCGGTTCCCTGTATTTATTCTGATGTGTGGTTCCTTGCGCTTCCTGCCGCTTCTGTTTTTTTAAGATCTGTCTCACCCCAAGAGAGAAGGTACAGCAGGGAGAAGTCGTTTTCTCGATCTCCTCCACCATATGAGGGGTCAAGGAGCCGTAGTCAGAGCCCAGTTAGGGGTCCAAGCCGGAGCAGAAGCAGAAGCCATAGTCCAAGGCGGAACATAAGAAGAAGCCGAAGCCCTATCAATGAAGGTCACCCGAGGGCACCAATTGGAGACAGATCTCCTAGTCCATGAAAAGTGAAAAGATAAATTGCTCTCTTTAAGTTAGCGGAAAGTGACTTGTTATGCCATCTGTTGTTGGAGTTCGTATAGTATTTTGGTCTGTGCGATGTTGACGCTACTGTTTGATGGGGTGACTATGGTAGTCTCTCGGATTAAGATATGTAGCTATGGTAGTCTTTCGGATTAAGATATGTAGGTTTATGCTTTTATTTGAATGACATGTATGACAGAATTTTGAACTCAAATCTTATTTGTCTCGGCTTCTTTTTATTTGCCTTGAGTTTCTGGTTATCGTCAAGCTTGCGATTCTGTTCCATTAAATTCTGTTGGTCCTGCTAAGTTTCAGTCTCTATTGAGAGCCAATCTCCCGTGGCATCTCTCTTTTCGTGCGAGAGAGAGGTGCAACCAGGAATAGCTGAGAATCTCCACATCCTGCGTTTCTCATTCAGGCTTGGTGTAATAGGAAGATGATCCTCTCCGAAATTACTTTGTGGGGGGATTTTAGGAATCTTCACATTTTAACGGTTGATCAACATTTTGTAGTCAGTTTTTGACAGGTATTATTTGTCTTTAATTTTAAATAAAAAAAGTTAAAATGATTTATGATCGCACGATGCACGATAAATGGTTAAGACGTGAGAATTCCACAACTTGGATCCGGATGGGACCCAAATCCGGTGTAATGTCTTGTCAGTCAGCACAGAAATTGTTCAAAATAAAGCAGACAACTTTTTGACGATTGGGATCTCAATCCATTGTCGCGTATTAGTTATGTCTAATTTTGAAGTGATGTGACTGTATTTTCAACTTTATTTTTACAATCGTCTGCCTTTCGTTTTTAAAAATGCTTGAGAGGTCATGTTTTAAGATAATAGTTTGTTGATCATATGAAGTAATCAGATTAAATCACACAACATATTAGTCATAATTAGTTATCAAACCCAAGAATCGAATTGACACCTCTCAGCCATAATTGTAGTGCTAATGACATTATAAATCGGATTAGAATTCTTTCCCCTCATCTTTCCATTCCCTTTCATCCTATCCTCTCACATTTTCTTATTTTATCTTTCTTTTGTTATAAAAAATTAATATAAAATGTTGACGTGACTTAACCATGACCGTTCAAATAAAAGAGAAGTGAAGGGAGGGGAAAAAAGAGGAACCTGAATTATCTGCCCTCCCCATCTCATACCCTTCTCATTCCTCTCTTATTTCTGTGGTCACGGTTAAGCCACGTTAATATTTTATATTCTCATTGCTTTTTGTCTTATTATTTATATAAAAAAATCAATATAAAATATTGATATGACTTAACCGTGACCACAAAAATATAAAAGGATGAGATGAAAGAGGGCAGACAATTCAAGTCTAAAAAAAAAAGGAAGAGAATCCTACTCCTTATAAATCTGGTAAAAGGGCATTGAATTTTAAGTTCAAAACTGTTCATCTCCTTTGTGTCTATCTTGTGCTTGGGCCACAGCCGCGTACATTTGCCTTTTGACAAAAAAACACCATTCATTTTCACGCGGCTAATCTGATGACTTTTCATCACCTTTTTCTTTCTTTCAACCTGAGAAAAATGGCTTTTGGAGGGAAAACCGAATAAAATCATCAATACATTAAATAACGGGAATTGTTATTAGCACTTTAAAATTTTCATTATACACCTCAAACTTTCTATATTAGGAAAGAAAAATACATTTATAAATAGTGTAGAATAAAATTTTTGAAATACTAATAACATTTCTCTAAATAATTAATAAGAAGAAGATGGCAACGATCCCTATGACTCTGAAAAAGAGAATATTTCCCTTCTATGCGAAAAAGTAAATCAAAATAAAAATAGAAAAAGAAACAAAATGCAGAAAAAGACAAACCAATGAAGAAACAAAGCAACCAGAGTTTCCAAGACTTGGCTTCAGTTGAGTTCTCACTTCTCACTCTCTCCATTAGCTGCTCATTTGCTACTCAAGCTTCCGTTTACAGGTCCTCTCTCTCTCCCTACAACCTTCCTCTTCCTATTATTTTTTGATATTATTATAATTGTTTTTTATTTGCAAATGAATAATGCTAATATGATTGGACTGGTGGGGGCAAATTTTGTCGGAAATTATCGTGCTTGTTTTGTTCCTGGGATGTAAATTGTAATAAAGGTTTTATTGTTTCGTGAATGTAGGGTTTCTGTAGGGTCTGGATACTAGAAATGTGGGTTTAGTGCTCTTCTGGCTTCCACATTTGAGGGAGTTACTTTTTTAACTTTAAGCAAATGAACAATCTTTCTTAGATCCTTGGTTCTAGGCGCTTCGGTTTCTTGTGTGCCTTACTGTTTTTCTTAGCTGGTTTGAATCGTTGGAAGTAAACTTTGTGGCTGCTTTGCAGCTGGGGAAGTTGAATCGGGTACTGCTTTTCTGGTCATTTTTCTTTGAATTTCAGTTTCTGGGTTCTTTTTGTTTGTGTTGTTTGTGGTCGAGTTGCTTCTGCTATGGTTTTTTCATGGTTTTCTGCATCTGTGTTCTCTGGCTAGCCATTTCTCGTGCCGTGTTCGCACGAAAAATCGAAGCTTGTTTAGTTTTGTGTGGAATTTAGTTTGCTCAAGCTGAGAGCTTGAGATTACAAGTTTTGGTTTGGATTTCGTTTATGTTGCTCATTTACTTCCCTATTGTCTGTCAGTTGTTGACAATAAAAGTATATCATGTCTAAATTGGAATGTTCGGTTTTAATTTTCTGGTTTTAGGGATGCGATTTAGCGTCTAGCATTTTATCTTCGAAATTGAATTCGCTACTGATGAGCCAATGTTGTTGTGAGTTGTGCTTACGAAGGCAATCTGTTCCACTCATTTTTGTAATTCACTTTTCATCCGCACATTACAGACTACGAAGGTCTTTGATACCCAAAGCTTTAGCTGAATTTTGGCTTTGTTTGTCATGATCTGGATCTCATTGCATTTTGTATATGGTTCATTTTTTGCAGCTTAGGACTTACGAGCTAACCGCAAGACACTGGAGGTGTAATTTGAAGTTTTATTAGCACGAATGATGCGTGAAAAATGGATTGGAGGCGTGCTTCTCCTTCTAGTTGGCATGTTTACTGATGTACAAGGTAACATACTAACCTTGTTCTGTTTTCTGTTGATTCCAGTTTTATATAGTATAACTTCGAGCTCCCATCTGCTTGGAATTCCTCGTCGTGAGGTTTTGGTCTGTTATCGACTTCTTCAATATTTCATTGCCTACATCATGTTTATGTTACTACTCTTAAGCGCTGTATCATTTACAGTGTTGATTTGCATTCCAAAGTACATCCTTATCTTGGCTTATGATAAGTGAGTATAATAAGAAACAAATTTTTATTGCCCTTGTTATAATTGGAAAGCATACATCTACATAGTATTTCACTCATACTTGCAAAGAATGTCGTTTTCCCTTTACCTTCTCTGATTTGGTAATACGTATTTCTGCTTGTAAAATGTTATTTTCCAGGCCTGCCTTGATCTGTAGGCTTTTCTGTTGTAGGTATATGCGGTCGTAGGAAATTTTAGAGTATGTCCACATGATATTATATATTTTCAGGATTTTTGATATGTTAATGCTTTACTTTAAGGGAAGCGCACCATTTGGAATTTTGAGATACCTATGTTCCATGTTGTAGTCTTATCACTCTAACAAGTTACTGAAATCACAATTTCAAATTGATAGGTGCATTCATAGGGATAAACATTGGGACCGATGTTTCGACCTTCCATCTGAGACAGATACAGTTGCACTCCTTAAAGCCCATCAAATTACACATGTGCGCCTCTACAATGCTGATGCTCACATACTGAAAGCCCTTTCAAACAGTGGAATTGAAGTAATGGTAGGTATCACAAATGAGGAAGTCCTAAGTGTTGGAGAGTCTTCATCAGCAGCAGCTGCCTGGATTAACAAAAATGTTGCAGCTTATTTGCCCTCAACCAATATTACCCGCCATTGCTGTTGGCAGTGAGGTCATTACCTCAATCCCTCATGCTGCGCCAGTTTTGGTCGATGCTATGAACTACCTTCATAAAGCCTTAGTTGCTTCAAACCTAAATTTTCAGGTCAAAGTTTCAACTCCACAATCCATGGATATAATCCCAAAGCCTTTCCCCCCGTCCACTGCCACCTTTAATTACTCATGGGGACACACCATTTACCAAATCCTTCAGTTTATTAAAAACACGAATTCCTATTACATGCTAAATGCGTATCCTTATTATGGTTACACCAATGGGGATGGAATTTTCCCGCTTGATTATGCTCTTTTCCGACCACTTCCCTCTGTCAAGCAGATTGTTGACCCGAACACTGTTTTCCACTATAACAGCATGTTTGATGCTATGGTGGACGCCACCTATTATTCTATAGAGGATTTCAATTTCTCTGGGATCTCTGTTGTTGTCACCGAGACTGGTTGGCCATGGTTTGGCGGATCCAAAGAGCCCGATGCCAACACAGGAAATGCTCAGACCTACACCAATAATTTGATTCGACGAGTTTTAAATGATTCAGGTCCACCCAGCCAGCCAAAGTTGCCCATCAACACGTACATTTACGAGTTGTTCAACGAAGACAAGAGGCCAGGGCCAGTGTCAGAGAAAACTGGGGTGTGCTGTATACGAATGGGTCTGCTGTGTATCCTTTAAGTTTGAGTGATTCCAGTCAAATTACTGGGAATTCTTCAGGGGTTTTCTGCACGGCGAAAGCTAATGCAGATCCAGATAAGTTGCAGGATGGCATAAACTGGGCTTGTGGGCAAGGTGGGGCTAACTGCACTCCCATTCAACGAGGGCAGCGGTGTTATCTCCCCGATACTATTGTAAATCATGCTTCATATGCTTATAATGACTATTATCAAAAGAGATGAAAAGTGCTGGCGGAACATGTGACTTTGATGACACCGCCATAATATCTACTGTTGATCCAAGTAAGTTTCTGTCAACATCTTGTTATCCCTCGACTATTGAGTATGTTTGGAATCTGGATGCAGTAAGCACTGTTTTTGTGATAGTTTTAAAGACAAGTTTTCTGAAGAAAAAGAAATGTAGTTTGAATTGCCTTTCATTAAGCTACGCTGTTTTATCAGTTGGAAACAGGCCTAACTGCAATGTCGACAATCGTTATTTTTTGTTTCTCTTTTTGTTGCAATGAAGCTCATGCTTCTTATATTGGTTTTCCGGTTAAACAAAACAATAGTTTAGTGGCTTGCAGAACCTTTCCGAGAAAAGTAAGCTTGTAGCAAATGCAGCTTTAACTAGT